TATACAAACAGATATGAAAGGAATCTCGTATATAAATTCACACGATTTGCTTCCACCTCTTTAAATTTACACATTTCTGCAGATACTCCCTAGTCATTATGCGCGGAGACGCTAGAAAGCGCTTACAGCATGCGTTTCGTTAATTAGGAAATATTCGGAGGTACTCGCTGGCGCATCGGCACCCAACGACTTATTGAACGCACCCCAGGGTCCATTGGATGTACATTTTGGAGGTACCAAGATGAAGACTTCTTTCAGGCAGGGATAAAAAACAACCGAGTCGCTGGATAAAGTGCACTGAGGTCAAAGATGATGTGGAACATTAATGTGGAAACAAATTTGATTCTGAACTAATTTCTGTATGTGGTCCCGAAATTTTCCATTTACCTTCGTATGTTATTTATGAAACTTCTAAAAGAAATGGATTTTCAGTTTCTGGTAAGTTGGTATTATTTGGAGCATGCCTCCTTAAGGTGGACAACTTACATCGAACTTTTGGTCATTGCATATAACTGGCAGGTTTCATACTGCGGTAATTTTTATATGTTTATGACAGATTTAAGATTTGCAGAGTTACGAACGTTATGTTTACTTGGCATGAACAGCAGACGCCAGTAATACGTGAAATCCCAGGAATTGTATCTCAAAAAGATGCTTACAGAAACCATTTTAAATGACATTGCCATGGCAGCCGTATTAAAACTGTTGCGTTTTTACCATTACTAGGACATTGTCTACATGTCATTATCAAACTACACATGAAGTATATGTTTATGTATATTACAAATATTACGTTTTTAGAGTATTTTGGCATCCTTATATCTCATATGAAATAAGTATGTGGTATGGGGATTAACATGTATCTTGATCATTACCTAGCTGTGGGACCCGTGAAGATCAGCGTAGAGAATAGGTTTTTAGCTACCCATCCTTGTTGCAAGAGGCGACTAACGGAACCGGGTAGTCAGACTCGCTGACTTGATTGATGCATGTCATCGTATCCCAATTGCGTAGTTCGATTCTTATGATGTAAGTCACTGGAATGTCTGGTCCAGACTCGATTATTTACAAACGGCTGTCATATATTTGGAATATTGTTGAGTGCGGCGTTAAACATGAAAACCAGACCTAGCTGTGGCCTTTCACATACAGCAGCCTTAATTCCTTCGAATACATAGCCTCCATGACGCCATAGCCATGTGGATAAAGGTTTATAGGAATCCCTGGAGAGCCAAAGGCCGGACAAAGAGGGAAATCCATTCCCAACACGGTTCACAAACACTCTACTTACGTGGAAAGTAGAATAGTGTATCCAATACGTATTAGTTAATATTACTTATCTCTGAAAACTTTTAAGAAATATTGCATTGAGAATATCAATCGAACTGAAGCTAAATTTGCTTGGGGAATATGTTCCATGTATTTATGTATGTGGTATTCCAAATTAGACTTTTTGCTGTGTTTTATTATATTTGACGATTGACAAGTAGTTTTGGCGCCTTTCATAGCTAGAAAATGCGGAAAAAATAAGTGAATGGAGCAACTGGTTCTCTCCAGAAATGTGTTGGCGACCAGGGCCAGACGTCGGCACAGAGAAAGTGGGTCATTACCTTGCTATGTTCTGTGTAGTGTTGTGTTGTTGGCGACCAGGGCCAGACGTCGGCACAGAGAAAGTGGGTCATTACCTTGCTATGTTCTGTGTAGTGTTGTGTTGTTGGCGACCAGGGCCAGACGTCGGCACAGAGAAAGTGGGTCATTACCTTGCTATGTTCTGTGTAGTGTTGTGTTGTTGGCGACCAGGGCCAGACGTCGGCACAGAGAAAGTGGGTCATTACCTTGCTATGTTCTGTGTAGTGTTGTGTTGTTGGCGACCAGGGCCAGACGTCGGCACAGAGAAAGTGGGTCATTACCTTGCTATGTTCTGTGTAGTGTTGTGTTGTTGGGGCAGGCTGTCCTGCAGCCGAATGCGCAAGACAACGGGACGAATTACCTAATCGATAGTCAGATTCCCATCGAAAACGACCTGATCTGATGTGACGTCACCACACCATGGCGCTACCTTCACCGTACGGCTCGACCTCCTGAACTCAACGTTCCCCTCGAGCTTCTGCACGGTGCACAATGTGGATGTTTGCGTGTTTGTTTGGAGTGTAGTTCTGAAATCACTATATTTATCCCATAATTATAGTGGTCATATGTCAATACTAAGTTTGTATTTTTCCCAGTATTTTATCTTACAACTAGCGAAAACTAAATATATTGCTGTAGATAATGTTAGTCAGTTGCTGTCCACGTAACATCTTTTAATATCAGATAGGTAGGAATATAAAGGATATTACTGGGTTGGTGCACTCCGTAACAAACGAATAATTGTAATTAATACACCAGGCATCTGACAGATTACTCCTTCAATATTTGGAAACACATTCTACAGAAGGCCAAATACACGGAGTCCAGTGGCAGATGCTTTACACTGCCACAAATAAAGACTTCCTCTCTGTTTTAAGGTAAGATGACGTTATGTTCACGTTAAACAGCTTACCTGAAACTATATCGTATCCTATGTACGCCACTATATTTTTACCATGGTTTGATATCCTTAACAAGTACTCATATTTCATTTAGTCTACCGCAAAGCAACATGGATGCGAATTTTATGTGTGTCGTTATATAGGTATTATAAGTTCACTTGTACATCAATTGGTGATATGCCAAACGATAGATGAAGCCGTACATCACACAGCACGAGTAACAGAACAAAGTGGTTATTACCTGCGGGTAATCTCACGTAAATACCGACTCATGCGAATATTGGTTATGCTATGTTTATCATTTGGTTAAGCATTTACGTTATTGAAATTACACAGTATGTAATGTACATTTGTATGTAAATACATAAGTAACGCTAGAATGCCGTGAATACAGTTCCTGTCTGAAGTGCCTTTGCTAGAATAACATAAAATACTTCCCGGTCCATTACTATACACAATTCACACTTTGTAATTGTATTACCGTATTTATCAAAACAATCATGTTCAGAATCGTTCAAACCAGTCGCTACTACCGTAGTTATCCAAATAGCAACATTATTATTATCTATTCAAATCTACCACCAGTGATACACGTTCTACCGCACTGCCATCTTAACGGTGTATTATGGAATATACTATTTACTAAACACATATGACATATAGAAACTTGAATTATGTAACTATTATCGCTCTGTTGTCAATGTACACACCATGAAATCTTGAATAGGTATATTCATGTATGATAGCTAATATTATATTTAATTGTTTAAATCATTTACCCTATCTACCTTGTACAGTTAATTTTGTGTGATATGTAATTTGACTCTGCCACGAATAAAGACTCCAAGGGACTCAGCAGCCTTCTCTCTGTTTTAAGGTGATAGCCCAGTAATCAGCTCTACCAATGTAATTCCCCCACTATCTTGGTCATTGTGACGTAGCAAACGGCCCCAAAACAAACTACGTCGGGAGCATGATACTCACACACGAGGTTTTTAAATGTGAACAGCACACAGTGATTGTTCAGCTATCAGGTGCTCATAAACAAACCACTTGTTTAACCGTAACTAACGCTTAGGCAATGCCACGGCTTGCTGAAACTCAACATCTACGAGCCGTGTGTATCCTGCACAGCAATGGCGCAAGCGAAGTTGTCAGACATTTTAATGTTCATCGAAACACAATATCACCTCTTTGCAGACGTTATCTACAGCAGGTCAACACTCGGTATTCCGTTGGTGCATTTACGGAATCAATATCAAACTACCATGTTTTCAGCTCGGACAATTCCTGGGTTGAGACCAATTAGTGGCAGAACCGTACGCAACCGGTTGAGAGGTGGGGGGTAACATCCGACCCCGACGTCCAGCGATGTGTTCAATTGTGCTTCCATGTAAAAGTCAGGCACGCCTAGCTTGGTGTAGACAACACATGAGGTTCAGAAGACAAGACTGGGACAGCATACTGTTCACAGATGAGACAGTTCTGGGCAGCTCTGATAGTTTGGCAAGGATCTCCAGGCGGCCAGGAGAACGTTTTTGCGACACTTCCGTTACTCAACGTTGTCAGTTTAGGGATGGAAGTATTATGGTATGGGCTGGCATCGCGACTCATGGGAGACCACCAACTCGTCAATGTTAATTTGGCAATTTGAATGGCGTACACTACCGGGATGACATCGCCAGTGATCATGTTCTACCCTTTGTACAAATACAGGGACGTAACGTCACGTTGCAGCAGAAAAATGCTCGATCCACAGGTTGCACGTGTTGTAAAAGATTTTTGAGGCAGCAGAACATTGCTGTACTGCCATTGCCGGCTGTTTCTCCAGACCTCTACCCCTTAGAATATGTCTGGGATGAGATGGAACGACTCCTATGACATGACCAGAACCAGGCGTAACGCTACCTCAGTTTGGAAATCTTTGCTTGACATTTGGAACAACATCCCCCAACCTGTTTTCAACCATCTGGTGTCTTCAATGCGCCGCCGCTGTCTCGCATGTATCAACGCAAATGGTAGTCACACCCGACTTTGACATTGTTAATTGAGTTGTTACACCACTCCTCTTGTGGTGTGGTCTCCTGTTACCAAGTACGGGTATTGTCAATGAATGTGTTATGATAAAACATTGATCAGACAAATGATCAAATGTTATGCTGTTATTTACCCAGTTGCTTTTTCCGTTAGTATATACACATTTTCAATTTTACATGTTTATGATGATGAGGATTATATGTATGTTTATTTTATTCCAAATCCAAATTGACATGCCAATAGAATATGTTTAATATCGGTTTAGTACTTTTTTAATTAATTTAATACTTTTTATGATGGAAAAGTATGATACTTGTTTATGGTAATAATGAAAGGGTACACAGCCATACATAAACATGATCCAAAAGTAATCACAGCTAGATCTCCTGCATCCTTACGTCATCAATATATGTTGTTTTTTTAATTACTCACTACTTCTGCACACGGCCCCGAACTTGTACCTGGCCCCTTCACAGCGGCACACCTTGGCTGCTCCACCCTGACTGCGGGCACTGCAAACCATGTTGCCTTCTCCTTGCACGCAGTAAGAAACGTCAGTGCATGCTTTCCCGTGGCCAGTCTTTAGATCTGCATCGACAGTTACACAGAGTTGTTGCTCTAGTATGTGTAAACTAACGCAATGTTGTGTTTTGTAACACCTACAGGGTCAATGGCGCTCCTAACCCCCAGAATGTGGTTTGTAACAGATACAGGGTCACAGGCTGTCCTTACCCTCAGAATGTGCTTTGTAACACCTATAGATTCACAGGCTGTCCTTACCCCCAGAATGTGTTTTGTAATACCTGCAGGGTCACAGGCTGCCCTTGCCTCCAGAATGTATTTTGTAACACCTATAGAGTCACAGGCTGTCCTTACCCTTAGAATGTGTTTTGTAACACCTATAGAGTCACGGGCTGTCCTTACCCCCTGAATGTGTTTGTAACACCTGCAGAGTCAGAGACTGTCCTTACCCGAGAATGTGTTTTGTAACAGATACAGAGTCTCGGTCTGTCCTTACAACCAGAATGTGTTTGTAACACCTATAGAGTCACAGGCTGGCCTTACCCTCAGAATATGTTTTGTAACACCTATAGAGTGACAGACTGTCTTTACCTCCAGAATGTATTTTGTACAGATACAGCGTCACAGGCTGTCCTTACCTCCAGAATGTGTTTTATAACACCTGCAGGGTCACAGACTGTCCTTGCCTCCAGAATGTATTTTGTAACAGATACAGAGCCACAGGCTGTCCTAACCATCAGAATGTGTTTTGTAACACCTATAGAGTCACAGGCTGTCCTTACCTCCAGAATGTGTTTCTAACACCTGCAGAGTCAGAGACTGTCCTTACCCGAGAATGTGTTTTGTAACAGATACAGAGTCTCGGTCTGTCCTTACAACCAGAATGTGTTTGTAACACCTATAGAGTCACAGGCTGGCCTTACCCTCAGAATATGTTTTGTAACACCTATAGAGTGACAGACTGTCTTTACCTCCAGAATGTATTTTGTACAGATACAGCGTCACAGGCTGTCCTTACCTCCAGAATGTGTTTTATAACACCTGCAGGGTCACAGACTGTCCTTGCCTCCAGAATGTATTTTGTAACAGATACAGAGCCACAGGCTGTCCTAACCATCAGAATGTGTTTTGTAACACCTATAGAGTCACAGGCTGTCCTTACCTCCAGAATGTGTTTCTAACACCTGCAGAGTCAGAGACTGTCCTTACCCGAGAATGTGTTTTGTAACAGATACAGAGTCTCGGTCTGTCCTTACAACCAGAACGTGTTTGTAACACCTATAGAGTCACAGACTGTCCTTACACCCAGAATGTGTTTTGTAACACCTATAGAGTCACAGGCTGTCCTTACCCTCAGAATGTGTTTTGTAACACCTATAGAGTCACAGGCTGTCCTTACCCTCAGAATGTGTTTTGTAACGCCTATAGAGTCACAGGCTGTCCTGGCCTCCAGAATGTATTTTGTAACGGATACAGAGTCACAGACTGTGCTTACCCCAGATTGTGTTTTGTAACAGATACAGAGTCTCAGGCTTGCCTTACACCCAGAATGTGTTTGTAACACCTGCAGTGCCACAGGCTGTCTTATCCCCAGAATGTGTTTTGTAACAGATACAGAGTCTCAGGCTGTCCTCACACCCAGAATGTGTTTGTAACACCTGCAGTGTAACGTGCTGTCCTTATCTCCAGAATGTATTTTGTACAGATACAGCGTCACAGGCTGTCCTTACCCCTAGAATATGTTTTGTAACACCTGCAGGGTCACAAACTGTCCTTGCCTCCAGAATATATTTTGTAACGGATACAGGGTCACAGGCTGTCCTTAAACCCAGAATGTGTTCTTAACGGATACAGAGTCTCAGGCTGTACTTACCCCCAGACTGTGTTTGTAACACCCGCAGAGTCACAGACTGTCCTTACCCCAGAATGTGTTTTGTAACAGGTACAGGGTCACAGGCTGTCCTTACACCCAGAATGTGTTTTGTAACAGATACAGAGTCACAGGCTGTCCTTATTTCCAGAATGTATTTTGTACAGCTACAGCGTCACAGACTGTCCTTACCCCTAGAATATGTTTTGTAACACCTGCAGGGTCAGAGGCTGTCCTAACCCCCAGAATGTGTTTTGTAATACCTGCAGAGTCACATGCTGTACTTACCCCCAGACTGTGTTTGTAACACCCGCAGAGTCACAGACCGTCCTTACCCCAGAATGTGTTTTGTAACAGATACAGGGTCACAGGCTGTCCTTACATCCAGAATGTGTTTTGTAACGGATATAGAGTCACAGGCTGTCCTTACCCTCAGAATGTGTTTTGTAATACCTGCAGAGTCACATGCTGAACTTACCCCCAGACTGTGTTTGTAACACCCTCAGGGTCACAGACCGTCCTTACACCAAGAATGTGTTTTGTAACAGATACAGGGTCACAGGCTGTCCTTACATCCAGAATGTGTTTTGTAACGGATATAGAGTCACAGGCTGTCCTTACCCTCAGAATGTGTTTTGTAATACCTGCAGAGTCACATGCTGAACTTACCCCCAGACTGTGTTTGTAACACCCGCAGGGTCACAGACCGTCCTTACACCAAGAATGTGTTTTGTAACAGATACAGGGTCACAGGCTGTCCTTACATCCAGAATGTGTTTTGTAACGGATATAGAGTCACAGGCTGTCCTTACCCTCAGAATGTGTTTTGTAATACCTGCAGAGTCACATGCTGAACTTACCCCCAGACTGTGTTTGTAACACCCGCAGGGTCACAGACCATCCTTACACCAAGAATGTGTTTTGTAACAGATACAGGGTCACAGGCTGTCCTTACACCAATAATGTGTTTGTAACACCCGCAGGGTCACAGACTGTCCTTACCCCAGAATGTGTTTTGTAACAGATACAGGGTCACAGGCTGTCCTTACACAAAGAATATGTTTTGTAACAGATACAGAGTCACAGGCTGTCCTTGCCTCCAGAATGTGTTTTGTAACAGATACAGGGTCACAGGCTGACCTAACCCCCAGACTGTGTTTTGTAATACCTGCAAAGTCACAGACTGTCCTTACCCCAGACTGTGTTTTGTAACACAAGCAGAGTCACAGGCTGTCCTAACCCCCATACTGTGTTTTGTAATACCTGCAGAGTCACATGCCGTCCCTACCCCCAGACTTATTTTGTAACACCTATAGAGTCACATGCTGTCCTTACCCCCAGAATGTGTTTTGTACAGATACAGCGTCACAGGCCATCCGCACCTTCAGAATGTGGTTTGTAACACCTGCAGTCACAGGCTGTCCTTATCCCAAGAATGTGTTTTGTAACAGATACAGAGGCTCAGGCTGTCCTTACACCCAGACTGTGTTTGTAACACCCGCAGAGTCACAGACTGTCCTTACCTCCGAAAGTGTTTTGAACAGATACAGCGCCACAGGCTGTCCTAACCCCCAGAATGTGTTTTGTAACACCTGCAGTCATAGGCTGTCCTTATCCCCAGAATGTGTTTGTAACACCTGCAGAGTCAGAGACTGTCATAACTCCGGAATGTGTTTTGTAACAGATACAGAGTATCAGGCTTGCCTTACACCCAGAATGTGTTTGTAACACCTGCAGTGCCACAGGCTGTCTTATCCCCAGAATGTGTTTTGTAACAGATACAGAGTCACAGGCTTTTCTTACCTTCAGAATGTGTTTGTCACACCTATAGAGTCACAGAATGTCCTTACCACCAGAATGTATTTTGTACAGATACAGAGTCACAGACTGTGCTTACCCCAGAATGTGTTTCGTAACAGATACAGAGTATCAGGCTTGCCTTACACCCAGAATGTGTTTGTAACACCTGCAGTGCCACAGGCTGTCTTATCCCCAAAATGTGTTTTGTAACAGATACAGAGTCTCAGGCTATCCTTATAGCCAGAATGTGTTTGTAACACCTGCAGTGTAACGTGCTATCCTTATTTCAGGAATGTATTTTGTACAGATACAGCGTCACAGGCTGTCCTTACCCCTAGAATGTGTTTTGTAATACCTGCAGGGTCACAAACTGTCCTCGCTCAAGAATATATTTTGTAACGGATACACAGTCACAGGCTGTCCTAACCCCCAGAATGTGTTTTGTAATACCTGCAGAGTCACATGCTGTACTTACCCCCAGACTGTGTTTGTAACACCCGCAGAGTCACAGACCGTCCTTACCCCAGAATGTGTTTTGTAACAGATACAGGGTCACAGTCTGTCCTTACACCCAGAATGTGTTTTGTAACGGATATAGAGTCACAGGCTGTCCTTACCCCCAGACTGTGTTTGTAACACCCGCAGAGTCACAGACTGTCCTTACCCCAGAATGTGTTTTGTAACAGATACAGGGTCACAGGCTGTCCTTACACCTAGAATGTGTTTTGTAATACCTGCAAAGTCACAGACTGTCCTTACCCAAGACTGTGTTTTGTAACACCCGCAGAATCACAGGCTGTCCTAACCCCCAGACTGTGTTTAGTAACACCTATAGAGTCACATGCTGAACTTACCCCCAGACTGTGTTTGTAACACCCGCAGAGTCACAGACTGTCCTTACCCCAGAATGTGTTTTGTAACAGATACAGAGAGGCTGTCCTTGCCCCCAGAATGTGTTTTGTAACAGATACAGGGTCACAGGCTGTCCTTGCCTCCAGAATGTGTTTTGTAACAGATACAGGGTCACAGGCTGTCCTAACCCCCAGACTTTGTTTTGTAATACCCGCAGAGTCACAGGCTGTCCTAACCCCCAGACTGTGTTTAGTAACACCTATAGAGTCACATGCTGTCCTTACCTCCAGAATGTGTTTTGTACAGATACAGCGTCACAGGCCATCCGCACCCTCAGAATGTGTTTTGTAACACCTGCAGTCACAGGCTGTCCTTATCCCAAGAATGTGGTTTGTAACAGATATAGAGTCACAGGTTGTCCTTACACCCAGACTGTGTTTGTAACACCTGAAGAGTCACAGGCTGTCCTTACCCCCGAATGTGTTTACTAATACCTGCAGAGTCACGGACTGTCCTTACCTCCAGAATGTGTTTTGTAACAGATACAGAGTCACATGCTGTCCTTGCTCTCAGAATGTGTTTTGTAATACCTGCAGAGTCACAGGTTGTCCTTACCTCCAGAACGTGTTTTGTAATACCTGCCGATCCCTATCGTGTGTTGTGTAATACCAGCTGAGTCACAGGCTGTCCTTACCCCCAGAATGTGTTTTGTAACACCTGCAGATCCCCATCGTGTGTTGTGAAATACCGTCAGAGTCACAGGATGTCCTTACCCCCAGAATGTGGTTTGTAATACCTGCAGATCCCCATTGTGTGTTGTGTAATACCTGCAGAGTCACAGGATGTCCTTGCCCCAGAATGTGTTTTGTGACTGCAGAGTCACAGGCTGTCATTACCCCGTCACTGGCTTGCTATATCATTACGATGTGTGTTTTCATATTCGTTTGGCAGAAGCAATAAATTTCAAGTTTAAACTCATGTTAAGGGTTTAACGACATACATTGATCATTGTAATGTCATTGTGTCGTTGCTTGAGGTATCCCTTTAATGTTGAAAGAATGCAGCAAGAAAGCTATCACTGGCGACATAATGGCGGCCTATGATAAATACGCGTAGTGATTAAATTAATGTGTTTTCTGGAATCGTTTGCAAAAAAACTCACGGCTGTCGGATCCTGCGTTACAGAAATCCCGACTGCAGCAGATTCTGTTTCCAAGGCAACGTTCACTCCTTGTGCATCCTTTTTGAACGGTGACGCCCCTTGTCTCTGACGTCACACTGTAGCATCTGTCCTGTTTACGTTAAACACGTTAAACATTAATCAAAATTGTGCTGTACATATTGGATGAAGTTGACATCCTACATCCTATGTGATCTTTAGTTGCAATTATTCCTACCTCATCAGCTAGGCATGTTTGTTCGGTGCTGTTCGCCAAACAGTTCAGGTTGGTCGACACAGGGTCCACCCATGACGTCAAGGGACAAGTGTAGCATTTGAGACAGTCTGAAACAAACACGTACATGTAGTTGGTTGGTGGTTTCCAGCCCAGGGGTAATGGAAACATCGATTTTTCATACCCGATGACAAACTAAATTATAATAGTCCCCGAATAGTCTCCAGGTTGTCCTGAGGCCTCCCTCTTTCGAATACCTACACCAGTCGGTAAATGCTAAATTCAAAATAGTATACTGAACAAAATTAAAAACTTCACAATCCTAAAATTTTAACATTTTGACCAGTTATAATTGTGGGCCCTTATTGTGTATTGAAACAGTAATGGCCACGTATTGTCTTCAGATAACACCCGTTTTTGTGCAGTTGAATCGATCAAAATCATGTGCACAGCATTATAGTGGCAAAAGTGGTTTTTCACGTGCAACTGGTCACGTGGCCATAATACCGCACGTGTTTTCAGCCATACTTGTTAGCAGTCATTAACCAAAAAAAGAAAAACACAAGAAAACAAAAGTCTTTACGGCCATTTGTCATGCCACGCCTTTCAAATGTGGAACGTGAACGTGCCATCGGCATGTTGCAGACGGGAACGTCCGTAGCTGAAGTCGCAAGGACGATGGGTTGTAGTCGACGGACTGTTTATGATTTACAGACGCGTCTACAGCAAACGGGTACCACCGCTGATCGCCCTCGGCCAGGTCGACCACGTGTGACGTCACATGCAGAGGATCGTCAGATTGTCTTACGTCACCTCCGTAACCGATTTTTGACGGCTACATCAACCAGAAATGAACTGTTTAGGGGTAGACTGAGTGTGCAAACTGTTCGAAACCGTCTGAGAACTGCTCACCTTCAAGCACGACGGCCATACTGCGGGCCGATTATGACTCAATTACACAGACGTCAACGTCAATTGTGGGCACAGCGACACTTACGATGGACTCAGAGGAATTGGAATCAAGTCGTCTTCAGTGATGAATCCCGATTTAATCTTCGATTTGCTGATGGTAGGGCGAGGGTGTGGAGGCGCCGTCATGAACGTTACGCCCAGTGTTGTGTACAGGAAGTTGACAGATTTCGAGGCGGAAGTGTCATGGTGTGGGGTGCTTTCTGTGGCAATGCGCGTTCCAGGCTTCTTGTCATCCGTGGCAACCTCAACGCTGCTGCTTACCGCGACCAGGTACTGGCACCAGAACTTCTGCCTTTTATGGCAGCACATGGACCCGGTTTGATCTTCCAACACGACAATGCCAGACCCCACACAGCAATTTTGACAAGAAATTTCCTTCAGAATGCGGGAGTCAACGTCATGGACTGGCCGTCAAGGTCTCCCGACCTCAATCCCATCGAACACGTCTGGGATGCTCTTGGCAGAAGTCTGCGCACTCTCCAGAACCAACCACATAATTTGCAAGATCTTGGCACCATTTTGCAGCAACAATGGCGTCGTCTTCCCAATCATGTGTTCACAAGCATCACAAGGTCCATGCGGAGGCGTTGTGTGGCAGTTGTCAACGCACAAGGTGGCCATACACGCTACTGAACTTGTGTGCCATCAGATTCTCGTGCTTGGGACTTATGATTTAAACTGTTGATGTTATTACCGAATACCGTAGGTGCTTGGAACAAATTATGGTTACCACCGTTAATTAAAATCCTTCTTTGGACATTAATGATTAAAAATTACCTTCTCTGATACATTTGTCCGTTGTATATCATATATGGGATTACTTTTAAAAATGTGAAGTTTTTAATTTGACTCGGTATACATATACAAAAAGAATATGCTGGCCGTAAGATAAAAAGCGACATTTATGGATTGGGTGGTAACCGCATCTCGATGCTGCTCCCTATAAACGATTTTGATTTTGACTTGTCGCTACACAGATGTTTTATTTTTTAAATATACCATCATGCACGGAACAATGTCCCAGTCTAAGTGCCGGAATCGGCGCACTCAGCAATATTCCAGATATGTGACGGTGGTCTGTAATCGAGTCTGGACCAGACAATCCAGTAATTGACATCATGAGCACCGATCCACGCAATTGGGATACGATGGCATGCATCAACCAAGTCAGCGAGCCTGGCCACCCGATCTCGTTTGTCACCTCTTTCCTCAAGCATAGTCACCTTTTACGGCAAGTATGGGTTGCTTGAGACCTAATCCCCTCCCCGATCTTCACGGGTGGAGATATTATATAATAATAATGCCAGCATTTAGCAGTATGTAGCACATTTGGATTGTTATTGTATATGGAAGATGTCTGCCATTTTAAATCAGTGTGGTGACATCAAACAAACAGGTGTCAAGCGTAACGTGCCATTATTGGTGTTAAAGATACTGCCATGCCTAGCAAAGTGATTTGTGACTGTTAAACAGATACTCACAACAGTGCCGATACAGGAGAGTACACAGAGCGTATACAAGGAACCTAGCGACCGATGTCAGTGCTGCCATGCTTCTGGATGTAGGGGTGTGCGGCTGTGGTGGGTTTCGGGCCGTCTCGGTCATCTGCATCTGTACCGGGCATGTCGCTGCGCGTTGTCCAAGTAATTAACTTATTATCAGTTCAGACGCATTCTTTAATTACCTGTCACCATATATTGACCATGCACGTTTTAATTTGTAACGGTCATTTTATTTGCATGGGGCGTGACATTGGATATGGACGGTTACAGGGGGTCACTTACATGGAAATGATCAAGCTAGCAAAGCGCCTGGAGCTTTCTGAAACAAGATATGCGAACTGACAGGTGTGGCGAGATTACTGAGCGGCGACGTTGACACATGCATCCTGCATGTTTACTGTACCAACAACTCCTATGTGTCTTGTCAAGTCATATTGTTAGGCTTGGGATCGGGTGGGGCTGTATTTACGCTATTTATTTTATAAAAATTTGGCGCTATTAAGACAAAGAGCTCCGTAGGAACTGTCCCACGAACGACTATTATACAGAACATGTATTAATTATGCAGCTCAACATGTATTGATGATACCATATTTCCTTGTTCAGTATTCCATAGCTGTTTAACGTCTTTCAATTTAAGTCAGGATGTTATAACTATTGTTCAATGATGGTCCATGATCATGTACCACCCGGAGTGCCCAACATTGACACAACAAGCAGTAGCCTGTAGGACAATAGGGGATAGTTAAGAGTCAGATTCTGGTGACGGTGCTCGCCCTGACCGCAAGTGCTAAAGAATGAGTTGAAATCATAATCATGTGAAAATTGTTCATGCGAAAATTGCTGGACTTCGGACTTCGAACAGTTAAATTTATTAATAATCTTGACAGCCCAGATGTACCGTTCACCGTATACCATTCCTCACGCACAGGTAGATCTTGTACATAGCTGATGCTCAAGGTGGGCAGAAATAAAGTCCAATTCCAGTTAATATGCTTACTATGCGTACGTATGTTATATAAACATACATAGTTCACACTATTTGTTTTAGTTATCTGTGACAATCCACAACATTGCAATGTCTCAGACATGTTTCAGTTCAAGGAATCAAGGATTCAAGGATTTATTGAGATGAAAGGCCATAAGACCCACAGTACAGATAAAGTGTCGCGTGACTCACAAACGTACAGCATGTATAAGGTGTGACTGCATAAGTATCATAATAACCACTTGTAACATTCAATACATCAATATACACTCTTCAAAAAAAGAAACGCACAGGTAGATTTTTAGTAAATTTATTGTACAATATCATAGATAGGATAAAGCTCGATAGTCACATGGTGTCGTTGTACAAAGGCATTGAAAACTGTTTATTGGCTTGTCACATAAGGCCACAAGGTGGCGCTGAACTCTCGGCACTGACTGGATAAGTGGACGAATTCTGTCCTGCGGAATTCTGCGCCATTCTGCTTGTAACGCGTTGGTCAGTTGCGGGAGTGTCTGCGGCGTGTTCTGACGTTGACGTAAACGTCGATCGAGTTCATCCCAGAGGTGTTCGATTAGGTTGAGAACTGGAGATCTAGACGGCCAGGGCAAGTCGTTATATGTTGTCATTATGAAGGTAGTCTACCGTGACACGAGCTGTGTGTGGTGGAGCGTTGTCCTGTTGGAACAGCTCCCTCTGGCGGTCAATGATTGGAAAAAGGTGAGGTTGAAGAATTTGCTTCATGTAGCGATTTGCTGTCAAATTTCCCTGAATCACAACCAAGTCAGATCTCGTGGGGGAGGATAGCTAAACCACACTCGCCTCCAGTTTCTCATATTCCAAGGCAGTAAGGTATGGCACCAACGCAAGCGTCGCTGTCGATGGATCTGTTGCAAAACAGGAACGATAACCGGGCTTCTGGGTCTGATTCCAGCCTCGTGAAGATGGTTTCTGACAGTCTGGTCGGATATCCACCTCAAACCAGGGATTGGTCCTGCAGTCTCCGTAGCTGTAGCATTGCGATGACGTAGGTGGAACAGTCAATGTAGCGATCCCGTGCAGGGGTGGTAACTCATGGTCGGCCGGTTCTCGGACGGTCTGCAGTGGAATTGAACTGTGTGTATCGGTCACAAAGGCGGCAAATGGTGCGGTGGTGGACGTTGAAGTGGCGTGCAACAGAAGACTGCGATTCCCCTCTTTGGAAACGTCCTATGGCGATGTTCGGCATTTTCGAACTTGAAAAATGTTGACAATTGAATGACAAATTATTGGCTTATGCTTGCCTTTTTATAGCCACTACCACGAGTTACGAATGCTATAACTCGCACGTGCATTTTGCTTCACTGTTTTCCTCCATGACATTTTTGAACAAGTGGGAAAACAATGCCGTTTAAGACATTGCAAATCGACAATGGCTGCCCTGTTTGTCGAATATCAAGCCACCAACATTTTCCAATAACATATATTCAATTTATATACCGGATTTTTTTGTGTAGTCGGGGTTCATACAACCTGTGCGTTTCTTTTTTTAAGAGTATATGTAGTAATCATAAACTACAGTTTGATTTATGATTTAAACATATTTATTCACGAGGAGTGAACGGGATTGGGGGACAAGTTTTTCCAACTTAGAATGCCCTCTCCCTGGTATTTACAAAAAAATCACAATTTCAAATTCAATATATATGCATACAACACTATAGATGAGAGAGAGAGAGAGAGCGAGAGAGAGATATATATACATTGTTGAATGAACAGTTCTTTACACAAATCTTTTAGTTGTACATATATAATGTTGTACTGCCTTAAATATAGCTTCATTTTCTGGAACACCGTGATCTGCATTGCCGTATCAACAGGTATGTTATGAACAATATTTTTAAGGCTGTTTAACATAATTTCACGCTGATGACTAAACAATGTACATTCGATGAGATAGTGATATGCATTTTCACATGTATTCGACCATGTACAGTTCGGGTGATCTTTTATACCAATTCTATATAAATCATAATTCAATTGACTGCTCATGTATCTCAGTTTTGTGTGTAAGTTATTATATTTTCTTTTTCCATAAGCGAAGTACGCAGATGACGTGGGGTGGTGAATTTTTAAAACATGAAATCGTAGAATTTCGATCTGATAACGGAATAGAGTCCCACAATCGGATAGACGATGGGTAAAAGGATTCACACGAATGTCTTAGTCTTGTGAGAGGAACACTGATGTTTTCAGAGTTTCTGAGACTGTATGAGTTTTTTGCATCAACGGTTTTGGGTGGAATATCTGTTAGATAGGAAGGGGCCATGTTATGATTTATTTTGAAGAAAAGACAAAGTTTACGTTTCTTTCTACGCTCAACTTAGGGTTCCCAACGGGTTTCGTAATATAATGAATGCCTGGGAGCATATTTAGGTGGACCAGTTACAATGCGTGCAGCTTCTAATTGTAATTGTTCTAATTTCTCACTTTGTCCTACAGTTCTTTTCTTATACAGAACATGTGAAAAGGGTACTTTGCTATGTCAAAGATCATCTTAACAGTAAAAGAGTTTAACATGCTTACCATGTGTTACAAAAGTGTTGAGATGATCATATGCTGACAAATATTTACTTCCTATCTTTGAGGACAATTGTGAAAATTACGTGTGCTTCATCTTCAAGTACATTACATTCCGGGCACACAGACTCAGAGGCAAGGCACAGACCGGAAGACGCACTGGAGGCAAGACACAGATCAGAGGACACACTGTAGTCAAGGCACAGACCGGAGGATGCACTTGAGGCAAGACACAGACTGGAGGTCGCAGTGGAGGCAAGGCACAGACCGGAGGACAAACTGGAGGCAACACACAGACCGGGGGATGCACTGAAGGCAAGGCACAGACCGGGGGAAGCACTGAAGGCAAGGCACAGACCGGAGGATGCACTGAAGGCAAGGCACAGACCGGGGGATGCACTGGAGGCAAGGCACAGACCGGGGGATGCACTGGAGGCAAGGCACAGACCGTGGGATACACTGGGGTAGGGGCAGACCGGGGGATGCACTGAAGGCAAGGCACAGACCGGAGGATGCACTGAAGGCAAGGCACAGACCGGGGGATGCACTGGAGGCAAGGCACAGACCGGGGGGTGCACTGGAGGCAAGGCACAGACCGGGGGATGCACTGAAGGCAAGGCACAGACCGGAGGATGCACTGAAGGCAAAGCACAGACCGGGGGATGCACTGAAGGCAAGGCACAGACCGGGGGATGCACTGAAGGCAAGGCACAGACCGGGGGATGCACTGAAGGCAAGGCACAGACCGGAGGATGCACTGGAGGCAAGGCACAGACTGGGGGATACACTGCAGGCACGGCACAGACCGGAAGACGCACTGGAGGCAAATCACAGACCTTAGGACACACTGCGGGCACGGCACAGACCGGGGGATACACTGCAGGCAAGGCACAGACCGGAAGACGCACTGGAGGCAAATCACAGACCTGAGGACACACTGCGGGCACGGCCCAGACCGGGGGATACACTGCAGGCAAGGCACAGACCGGAGGACACACTGCAGGCACGGCACAGACCGGAGGACACACTGGAGGCAAGGCACAGACCGAAGGACACACTGCAGGCACGGCACAGACCGGGGGATGCACTGCGGGCACGGCACAGACCGGGGGATACACTGCAGGCAAGGCATAGACCGGAAGACGCACTGGAGGCAAATCACAGACCGGGGGATACACTGCGGGCACGGCACAGACCGGGGGATACACTGCAGGCAAGGCACAGACCGGGGGATACACTGCAGGCAAGGCACAGACCGGGGGATACACTGCAGGCAAGGCACAGACCGGAAGACGCACTGGAGGCAAATCACAGACCGGAGGACACACTGCGGGCACGGCACAGACCGGGGGATACACTGCGGGCACGGCACAGACCGACGATACACTGCAGGCACGGCACAGACTTGAGGACGCACTGTAGGCAAGAGACAGGCCGGAAGACGCACTGGAGGCAAGGCACTGATCTGGAGGCGCACTGGAGGCAAGGCACAGACCGGAGGACGCACAGGAGGCGAATCACAGACTGGATGACACACTGTGCGCAACACACAGACTGTGTGACGCACTGGAGGCAAGCCACAGACCGGAGGAGGCACTGGAGGCATGACACAGACCGGAGGATACACTGAAGGCAAGACACAGACCGGAGGACGCACTGGAGGCGAATCATAGACCGGATAACACACTGTGCGCAACACACAGACTGGGTGACGCACTGAAGGCAACGCACAGACCGGGTGACGCACTGGAGGCAAGCAACAGACCGGAGGAGGCACTGGAGGCAATGCACAGACTGGATGACGCACAGGAGGCAAGCCACTGACCGGAGGAGGCACTGGAGGCAACACGCAGACTTGATGACGCACAGGAGGCAACACACAGACCGGGGGACGCACTGGAGTCAAGGCAAAGACCAGGGGACGCACTGGAAGCAAGGCACATACTGGAGGACGCACTGTAGGCAAGGCAAAGACTGGAGGAGGCACTGGAGCCAAGGCACAGACCGGAGGAGCTACTGGAGGCAACACACAAACCGGAGGAGGCACTGGAGGCAAGGCACAGACCGGAGGATGCACTGGAGAGAAGACACAGGTGTGGGTTTTAATCATAAAAGAGAGCTGAGATTTTTCCAAATCGTATTTCAAATTATACATATGGACGGAATGTTGAAATTTTTTCACTATCTTCTTAAATATAATTTAACAGTACAGACATATGTGCTTTTATAACAATCCACGTATTTCTGCGTAAAAAAGAAATTTGATTGATTTATTACCCTATTTAGCTATTGGATCCCCCGCCCTCAGGCCAAGTTATCAAAGCAAATAGCAAATAACACCGCTCAATAGCGCTGAGTAGTACGTACTTCCTAAAAAGCAAGTGTTTTCCTAAAAACAACGCTTATATCAATGCTAATTCTGTTTGCGGAGTAGATGTCATCAAAGTGGAAGTCCTCACCCAAGCAATGGTAATACTACCGGATGTCCTTTGTGTAATTTCTAGTTTTTGGATGACATATTGTTCTCAGTAACCGTAATTTGGTTACTTATAAACGCCCACGGCAATATTTGCTAATATATTGGCTAGTGAACAATCCCAATTAGCACCCCTTCCGATTGATTAATGTACACAAGACTTATTTATTCGCGTATAATAAGCAGTCGTTATATGCACACTTAATCATGGGCAATTAAATTCGGGAAAAATATATCTGTCGTACATAAACATTTCAGGCTGTCAGCATAAACCACGAAATTCATCTTTCAACTCAACTTTTTTTTTTTCACCAAAATAATATTCTAAATTTGAGAGCGCCCTGGGCGCTTATTACGTCGAATGCGGTAATTAACTCTACGCTAATTTGTTTGCATTTACAATTAACTCTAACGTTAATTTCAAGATTTACGGTACATGCTATTCAAAAGAAGTTAAAGAACACCCGATTCCTTCATATGACTATGGTTATGAGGAAGCGATAGAGCGAGAAAGTGATAAAGCGAGAAAGCGAGAAAGCGAGAAAGCGATAGAGCGAGAAAGCGAGAAAGCGATAGAGCGAGAAAGCGATATTTCCCATAATGCCGTACATTAAAACGGTTTTTGCTGACATTTAGTGATCCATTCCTGTAATTCTCACCGCTATTTTGTCTCATATGATTAGATTTTTTAAACATCTTGTAGTAGATAAATATGTTACAAAATACACACGTAATTTTTTCTCGTTTAGCTTGTATATTTTCTTGTAGTGTAATAAATAAGCAAGATTCACAGAATACAGATAGTCACTGTTCATATTTTCATTTTGTTCATAGTAACCTCCCTTCATTCCTCCATCAATCTTAAAACAGATATAAAGGAGATTATATATTGACAAATAATTGTCAGTTTAATAAGCCAGTTTGTATTGTTTACAACGTCCAAAGAATTATTTTTTTCGGTCATTAGATTTGGAATTGAAGCCGAATATGTGCTCGTCCGATTTCGGGATCACAATTATGTTCATTAAGTTGCATGCACATTATGCAAACAAAAGTTGTACATGTACACAGTTATGTTTCCCTTACAAAATACAGATGAATTAGATATATGTATCTACTTTAAGTCACATATACGACTTTCGAGAACGTCATTAGCCCGTAACCCCATTCCTTGGACAACAGAAATGAAATGCGTCGTTAATATTTTTTTAAAACAACTCGTTTCTTATAATGACTTTCGATCAAACAGTCTTCGGGAATTAAATTTAATGCTAAAGTGCTTGTAAAATATAGTTTAACTTTCCCGCCAGGAGAGACTAGATATCCAATTATAATATATGCTCAGGCAGGAATATACATATTTATGTAGCAATTCACAAGACAAGAAACACAATTCAAGTTAAACATACATCAAATGTCAAAAAGAACATTTACGGACAACCTTATGACACACTGTAACATCATATACTACCGAAAACTAGTTATAGAACACTCACAATTATAAGATTGTATTTTTGCAAAACAATCAGCCATGACTAATTAACCATTGTCTTCTTAACTTATATATATTGTATATATTTAGATTTTAACCTGATTTATTTAGAGCGTATTGCCATGATCTGATGGTCACATACAACTGAATAGGGCCATAAATAAATCAATTACATTTTACGCAAAAATGGGTGGATTGTTTTTAAAATCACCTACGTCTCTACAGTTAAATTATGTTTAAAGTAAATAGTGAGAAAAGTTCAACATTACCTCCCAATTGCAGCAGATATCACAGACGGCCCCTATAGTGGTCAAAAGGGGATATTGCTTAACCGCGAGAAAGCGATAGAGCGAGAGAGCGAGAAAGCGAGAAAGCGAGAAAGCGATAGAGCGAGAAAGCGAGAAAGCGATGTCCCCTCTCGGCCACCATAGTAATGGGGATTAAGGACTCAAACTGGAGTTTAGCTACAGTGAGTAAAAGGGATTAAGGACTCAAACTGGAGTTAAGCTATGGTGAGTAATAGGGATTAAGGACTCAAACTGGAGTTAAGCTACAGTGAGTAATAGGGATGAAGGACTCAAACTGGAGTTTAGCTACAGTGAGTAATAGGGATTAAGGACTCAAACTAGAGTTAAGCTACAGTGAGTAATAGGGATTAAGGACTCAAACTGGAGTTTAGCTACAGTGAGTAATAGGGATTAAGGACTCAAACTGGAGTTAAGCTACAGTGAGTAATAGGGATTAAGGACTCAAACTGGAGTTTAGCTACAGTGAGTAATAGGGATTAAGGACTCAAACTGGAGTTTAGCTATAAAATATGCAGGACAAATCTAGGTTTCATCAGATGCCATGGCAAATCCACAGCGTGTAGAGTATGTCTTGTCCCAGAGAGGTGGCAGGCAGGTGCTCCTTCATGGGTACAGATACAGGCTGAACAATCGCCGTCAGACCTGTGTACACTGGAAGTGTCCCGATACCGGGTGCCTTGGCAAATGTACAACTGTTGGTGATTATTATATTTTATATGTTATTGGCTTGAGATGGTGGACCAATACCGAGACAACCCAGAAGGCAACCAGTGGGTACGCCGAGCCGCAGTATATCCACTCCTCCCTCTCCGACATGTCCAAGAGGCCTGGTTGGATGCCATGGACCACACTCCCAACATCCCTCTAGCCACCCCCTTCCCTTACATGGTGACCATATGGGTGGATGACGACGCCCGGTTCAAGCCAGCAATTTGGAACCACAGTGACAACACAGGTCCAAGGACAAACAATCATCTAGAAGGATGGCACAGTCACCTCAACAAGACGGTCCAGCGTGTCCAACCAAACATCTTCGCCTTGATCCGAGGGTTGCAGCAACTGGAGAAGACCGAGAGAAACAAACTGGCACAGTTCCAGCATGGTGCGTGCTACTGTAGACAAAGTGCACTGTAGGCGATAGTAGACCTAACCGTGTAAACTACACATAAGGAGAGACATCCTAATTAGGGTGGCCACATAGTGAACGTTGATAACAATATGAAGTGCATTACTATAATTACCTATAACATGTTAAATCCGTTATTATTGTAATATTTTATGTATATCTTAAGTATATATGTGTGTGTGTGTGTTAGTGTGTGTCTGACCCACTGTCTGTAGATAACTACATAACTCACATCAGAACGCACAATTGATAACCACACAGTTTAATAGATAGATAATTGTTACATAAAATTAATATGTATATTCCTGCTTGAACAAAGAGACTATACTATAATCGATATCTAGCCTCGCCGGGCGGGAGAGTTAAACTCTATTTAGTTAAACTCAGTTAAATTTAGTTATTTACTCTAGCACTTTAGCATTAAATTTAATTCCCGAAGACAGTTTGATCGAAAGGAATTATAAGAAACGAGTTGTTTTTAAATAATATTTACAACGCAATTCATTTCTATTGGCCAAGGAATGAGGTTACAGGTTAATGACGCTCTCAAAAGTCGTTTTGTGACTTAAGGTTGAGACACATATCTAATCGATCTGTATTTTGTAAGGGAAACATAACAGTGTATAGTGTACAGTAAATCGGACGAGCACATATTCAGCTTCAACTCCAAATCTGTTGATCGACAAAATAATTCTTTGAACATTGCAAACAATACAAACAGTGGCTGAAAATACTGACAATTATATGTCAATGTACGATCTATATGTAAATCATTATTTGTTCCAGTTCAATTTATCCTTTAAAGTTTCAGTTTTAAGATTGGTGGAAGAATGGGGTAGTATAATGAACGAAATGAAATATGAATAGCGACTATTCTGTTGTAGTCTGTGAATCCTGCTAATTTACTACACTACAAGAAAATAAACACATGCGTGTATACAAACTAAACGAAGTAGCCTTCTGTATCTATATCTAACATATTTATCTAATTATAAGAGGCAAAATGGCGGTGAGAATTATAGGAATGGATCACTGAATATCAGCAAAAAACATTTTAATGTACGGCCTTATGGGAAATGTCGCTTTATCGCTCTTTGAATAGTATGTACTGTAAAGCTTGAAATTAACGTTAGAGGTAATTACAAATGCAAAAAAATTGAGAGTCGACTTAATTAATTAAACTTTGCGTTTATGTCTCAGAAATGACTGTTGATAAGACGGCCTCACTGCACACTTTGAATAGCGGAAATACCAACTTGAATATAAACACAAACAACTATCTATTTCCACATTACGGTTTATTGAGAACAATGTGTCATTCAAACGCTGGAAATTACATAATGGACACCCGGTAGTATACTGAACCAAATGAAAAACTTCACAATCCTAAAATTTTAACATTTTGACCAGTTATCATTGTGGGCCCTTATTGTGTATTGAAACAGTAATGGCCACGTATTGTCTTCAGATAACACCCGTTTTTGTGTAGGTGAATCGATCAAAATCATGTGCACAGCACTATAGTGGCAAAAGTGGTTTTT